CCCAACCTGCCCCGGGGACCCCGGGCCGCCTCCAAGCCCTGCCCCTTGCTCCAAGGTGCCTCCCCAGGGAGAGTGAAGCCGGCCCGCTGGACCCTCCGTCCAGGCCTGGATCCACAGAGTCCGAGGTGAAAGGTCCAGTGACAAAGGTCCTCTTCATTCTTCCCCCCACAGCAGAGCCCAGGCACCAAGCCGCACCCGCGAGCGTCCGTGGCGTTTCCCAGCAGCAAGTGAACCCCTCGTCTGGCCTCAGGTTCGCGGTCCCCATTCCTCCAGGCCCAGCACCTTCTCCCCGCACACTGGCGTCCTTGGACACTGTCTCCACCTCACAGGAGCCACACGTGACACCGTCCCAGCCCGTCCATCTCACCCGTGGGCAGGGCCTTGAGCCACGAGAAATGCCACGCGAGCTGAAAGCTGGTTTAGAACATCGGTCTGAGAAGGGCCTCAAAGTTTACCTGGGTCCATGGCCCAGACCAGGAGGCAGGGAGGGCTCAGCCCAGGGCCCCCCTCAGGAGCACCACCCCATTCCGCGCACGGCACCAGGCGCCGGTGAGAAACCAGGATCCGGGCTCCCAACCCGCCGGACACACCTGCCTTTCGGCAGCACCCCCAGGACACACTGGCCTGCAAAGCCCCGTTCACATCACAAGAGCCAACCTGGGAACCGGCTTCTGCAGGAGGAGCCCGAGCCCCTGACACCTTCAGAAGCCGGGGCATCGGAATCGGACACCCCGGGCGGAGCCGGGACCCCCCGGTGGGCGCGGTGCTCCAGGCCGGCCTCAGCTGCTCCCGTGTCTGCCTCCCCGGGACAAAGCCCCCGCCCCAGCCCCACGAGACCCTGCTGCGGGAAGGTCCCAGGGCGTGGGGGCTGTGAGTGCAAATGGGCCCCTCCCACCCCTGCAGCCCTGGGTACCCCCAGGGGCGCAAGCGGAGGCCACGGGCACCGAGCCCAAGGGGAGCCGACGATTCAGAACCAGGCACGGGCGAGCATCTCCTCCCACCCGAGCAAGCCTGCCGGCAGGTGCCACACCCACCACGCCTGCCACAGAGGAGGGGATGCGGACTCGGGGAGGCGGCCCGGCCACGGGGCGACGCTGGGGCACGAAGCCTGGACGCTGCCCAGGGCCGAGCTCCCACACGGCCTGGCTCGCTCCGCATCCCACGCCAGGCGGCCTCCAGGCCCCAGACCTCGGCGCTCACTGGCCCTGCCCACCCAGCCACTCGCTGGCCCCGCTCCCAGCCCCTGGACCATCCCTCCCCTCCCACCACCTCCCTTGGAGCCTCAAGGTCTCCCGGGCCCCCCCCCTCCCCAGCTGGTGGCCCCGGCATAAGGGACACCTGTGGTCCCCCAACTAGTGCCGGACCACGATGAGGCGCTCAACACACAGCGGGCTGGGTCTGGGGCGGTAGTGAGGGGTCTCTAGACAGCCGGGGGAGACCAGAGGACCAGGCCCTGGAGAAGGTGACACAGGGAGAAGGTCCAGAAGGAGTTCCCCCAGCTCCACTGGGAACTGGGGGCGTCTCAAAGGGGACGGTGGGGAGACCAGAGCCCGGCCCCCTCCGCCCTCCCTGACCAGCTCCCCTTCTGGGCATGTCTGCCTGGGGTGGGACGGGCACCAGGGGCCACGGTGGGGGGATGCGACCAGGGAACTGGCCTCCACTTTCAGAAAGGCGGGCGGGCTGGGCCCAGCAAACCGCCAGGGAACGCTGCCAGCGTCATCAATGATTAACACCCGCTTGAAGGTGCCGCCAGAGCCACCGCAAGGTCCTCGGGAGCCTGGGGAAGGCGGGGTGGCGGGAGGGCAGGGACAGGACGCACTCCGGGGCCCTCCCCCAAACCTCCCCACAGCCCCCCACAACCTCCAGGCCTCTCCCAACCAGCCGGGGTGCGCACGGAGGGGGCGAGGGGCACCTGTCCCTGCATGGGGAAACTGAGGCACGGGGGCTTCTGCCAGGCTGCATGGGTGGGAGTCTGCATGTGTCACCCTGCAGCTCCCGAGAGGTCGGAGGGAAGAGGGAGAGAGAAGAGAGAGGGACAAGGAGGGAAGAGGGGGTTCCTCCGGGCTCCTGGGACTGGAAGCCCCCCACCTGGCAGGAGGGACGCGGAAGCTGGGGGCAGCCTCCACCCTGGCCTCTACAGACGGAGGCTGTGGAGGCCCAGCCCAGTGGCCAGGGCGGGCTGCTACGGGGTCCCCGGGCCCCTCTCCAATCCAGACATCTCCCCAACCAGACAACCCCGGCCAAGGCCCATCAGCATGGAGGCCAGGCCTCCCTCGCCCTCAGCCAGAGTGGGGGCCGCCGCACGGTGGGGATGTGAAGAACCTCAGCTGAGGGCTGGGGGCCAGGGGCAGTGCCGGGCGGGGGGGGGGCAGCCTCCCGCCCCCTGACCCCGGCAGACGGGGCAGGCGGTCGCGCACAGGAAGGGCCGCTCTCCTCTTGGCCAGAGCAGGGGTTCCCCGACCAGGAGGGGGACAGGATATCCTGGCCTGCTTCCCCAGCTGCGCCTGGGACAGTGTGCCCAGCCCTGCAGGGCCCGCAGGACAGCGGCTCCCACACCCACCCAGGCCCCAGCCCTTCAAGGCCGGGCTCATCCTTCCCAGGCCGGAAACCGAGCTCAGCCTGGGTCGTAACAATCAGCCCGCACGTCTCACCATCTGCCTCACCAAGGACAGAGCTCTCTCTCTGCGACCATCTCGGACGCTTCTCAGAACGACACCGGGGCCAGGGTGGGCACCGTCCACCCCTTTTCTCAGCACTGCGGCCAGGCTCTGGTCACTCAGTCCCAGGTTGCCCCTGCAATCCCAGCTTGAGCCCAGGTCCCCTGGAGACACTGGCCAATTCAGAGAGCGTCTGGGGCCCTGCCAACCTCCTGGAGGTGAGGGGGCACCTTCCCGGGCCCCAGGGAAGCCACGTCCCCTGCCTAGCCAGGGTCCACCTGCAGACCCACCCTGCACAGAGGACTGTGGCACACCTCTTACAGACGGGGACGAGAGCGGGAGAAGACTGACCCAAGGTCACCAAGCCACCCTTGGAGGGCCCCCATTCCCAGCTCCGGCCCCCGAGGGAAAGCCACTCGGCTACTGTCCCCAGAAGCCACCCCTGCCCTACAGCTCCTGGGGAGGCAGACTCTGCTGAGCAACTTCCGAGAGCTAAACAATCAGAATCAGGAAGAAAACACGAGTGTAAGCAGAGACTTCCTCCGGGGAGCAGCAAGCCTTCTTCCTCCACCAGGCACGGCAGCGCCCGGGGGGCCTGGGCAACGTGCGCACCCTCGGGCCCACCACCCCGGGACGCAAACCAGTGGGGTGTCTGCAGGCCTCTCGCCTTGGCAGCCCTAGGGGTGCGGAGGCACTGCTGCACTGCCTGGCAATCCTCTGCCCAGAGCTTGGCACATAGGGTTCCGGGACAGAGAGGCGGCTGGGCAGGGTCTGCTCCAGGACCGGCTGTGGGGTCCGTCCCGCCCCTGGCCACCTCCGGGAGCTTGGGGTCCAGCAGGTGAGGGCTGGGGGGCAGGCAGCCCACGTGCACAGCAGCACCCACGAGCCAGCTGTTGGCCGGGCGCTCGAACAGCCGGAGTCAGACCAGGTCAGGATCCCTCAGGGTCAGCGCACGCAAACATGCCCCCAAACCCCAAGGCAAGGCCACCCTCTCCCGCAGACCAGCCATGGCCACAGCTAAGCTCCCTCTGACACCTCGGCAGGCGGGGACTGGGGGTGGTGGTGGGAAGAGGCTTGAGGACACTGTCCCCACCACTTGCCCTCCTGCTCTGGAAGGACTGCCCCTCCGCAGGGAGGGCAGCAACCCTAGTACCACCTGCGCTCAGAGGAGCAAAGGTGAGGAACTGAGGTCATGCCGCCCCACCTCGCCGCACCTGCTGAGACCATGCTCCAAGCCAGCCCCTCTGCTCCCTGGGCTCCGGTGGTGGCTACCGGAGTGGGACAAAAGAGGGCCCTGGACACCCCCCAGCCAGGTCTCTCCCAGCCCCAGGCCCGCCAAGGGGGCAGGGACGAGCACCTGCCCCTACCAACGGGAAGCCAGAGGGAGGTCACCCGCGCAGCTCCCAGAGCAGCCTCCGAGGTCAGCCCGGGGATGGCCGAGCCGAGGCTCACGGGCCAGAGGCCGGCCCCACACCAAGAGCCCACTGGCCAGGCAGCAGGGAAGCAGGGCCGCGAGCGGTGGGGGAGGGCTCCACGTGGCCCCGTCCCAGCGCGCCCCGCCCTGCCCCACACAGGCACGCGCAGCGGCGGCTGGCAGCAGAGCCACCTGGGAAGCAGCGGGGGCAGGTGCTGCCTATAGGGCGCTGCTTTCGCCTGGCGCACAGCTTCCTCTGATCGACCAGTGGAATCAGAGGCCCGACCTCTCTCCTCCCCACCACCCTGTGTGTCCCCTCCAGGCTCCTCTGCTTCAACCCAGGGTTTCCAGAGCCTGGTTGGGTTCTTGCGGGGCCGTGGGCACTCCTCGCGGCCATGCTGACACCTCAGCCTACACCACAAGGCCTGCCACCCTGTGGGGCAACCCTGCTCCGCTTGCCCTGGAGACGCCCCACAGGGCCCGCCTGGACCGGGGAGGGTCTGAGATGTTGCTGCACCAGCGGGGGCACCGGGCCCTGCCCTCTCTTGCCTCCCTGCCCCTCCCGGGGAACTCTCTCCCCTGCCCCCGTTCTCCCGCGGAAGGATTAACACCTGGACCGTCCCGCCAGGGAGGAGCGGGCCTGCTTGGGCAGCGCACTCCTCCCAGCTGGCTCCCCCCACTCATGCCTGGGCAGCGCCGGCGGGGAGCTTCCCACCCCCACGGGGTCAGACCCACACGTCCCTGAACTTCAACAGACAAGCTCCCCGCTGCTTCTGTTTTTCCCATTAACCCCTTCCTTACCTCCCGGCTGATCTGAGTCGCAGCTCCGACCAGGTTCGGGCGGCAGCAGGTGGCACAGGGACAGCGCTCCCCCCACGCCCTCCCCGGCCCCGCGGAAAGCTCCCAGTCCCGCCGGCGGCGATACTCACACGGCAAAGTGGTAGACGAAGCACTTCCAGCCGGTGGGGCGCTCCAGGAAGTTGTAGACGCGGCCCTGGATGTGAGTGCGCGCGAGCAGCGGGCGGCGCGCGCTGTAGATGGAGACGCGCGGGTCGAGGCTCACCGGCGGCCGCGGGCCAAGGTCGGCGGCGGCGGGGGGCGCGGCGGGCGCGGTGGGGGACGTGGGCCCCGGGGCGCCTGGCGGAGCGATGGGCGCGTAGAGCGCGCCGCCCGCCGGGCCGCCCTCGGCCAGCTCCAGCGAGAAGGGGCACTTCTTGGCCAGGCCCGCGCTGCCCCGCCGGGCGCCCGGCAGGCGGCCCCCGCCCCAGCGCTTTCTCTCGGCCCTGGGAGGGGAGGTGGCCGCGGCCATGGCCAGGCAGGGCCCGCGGGGGCCGGCCGGGCGGCGGCACGAAGAGCTGCGGCGAAGTCGGCCGCCGGGGCGCAGTGCGGGCGGCCGCTGCTGCCAGCCGGGCCGCGGGTCCGCTGCCCGCCCCGCCAGGGCGTGGGGGGCGGGGCCGGGAGGGGGCGGTGGCCGCGGGCGGGGCCCGGGGGTTGGCGAGCCCCGCCCCGGGCCGGACGCCCCGCCCCCAACCAACGTCGGCGCACGGAGCGCGGTAGACTGAGCCCCGAGTGCGCTCACCTGCTTGGTCGGTCCCTCCCCCGTCGGCGCCCACCTGTTGGGTCCGCCCCTTTAGCCTTCACCTTCTCGGCCCCGCCCGCCCCATCTGCTCGGTCCGCCCCATTCTGCGCTCCTCGCTCCGCCCCGCCTACGCCCACGTGCTCGCCCTCCCCAAGCCCACCTGCTAGGCCTGCAAGAAGCCCCCAGCCAAGTCAGGAAGGAAGGCGCGGGGTCAGCAGGTGCAGGGACCACGAACTGCCCGGGCAGGAGGACGGGGTGGGGCGCAGACAGCCGCTTCACCCCCTCTGAGTTACTCAGAAGAGGGTGGGAGTGAAGGGGGAAGGCGGGGCACGTTAGGAGGATGGCGGTTAGCCCCGCGAACAATCCGAACGCCCCCTGGGTGCCCGAGCGCCCGAGCGAGCGCGCGTGCTGCGGGCAGAGAGTGTGGTCGGGTTGGTACCCATAGGGCCGTCGGACTCTGGAGGCCAGACAGGGCCATCGGGGCCATCGTCGGTCAGGGCTGGCCCAATGGGGAGCCGTGTGCGTGGCGAGGATGAGGGGGTTCCTGGAGGCGATGCCTCGGGGGTCTGGCGAGGGGCGTGGCAGGAGGGGCTGCCTGGGCAGGTCAGGGGAGAGGCTTTGTCCTCCTTACCCTCTGGACAGGGCTGATGCTGTGTCCCGTAGGTTTCCCTGGGTGGGGGTGATGTAGAGGTGGGTGACAGGGTCAGAAGGACTGCACGGGTCCCCTACCCTGCACTGGCATTTGGGTCCCTGCACAACGACCTGACATCAGGGTGGAGAAAGGGTGTCGAGCAGAAAAAAACTGGCCTCTCTCAGGACATTGCCCTGGGCAGGGGGATAACTGCCTGCCACCTCAGGGACCCATAACCTAGGAGACACGTCCCAGGTCTTGACTGACCACCCTGGGCTGATCTATTTCACGTACTCCTTCATCAGAAAGTCAGCTCTTGTTGTTGGACCGAGTGCAGCTCAGCCCTTCACCCCTGACTCCCCACACCTCGGATGGTGCCTGTACAGAGCCGGCACAGTTGGTATATGCAGAAAGAATGAATGAAGTGGGTCCCAACCTGTGCCAGGCACTGTGGAGACTCAGGGCGGCTGAGACAATGGAACTTCGCTGGGAAGCGCATCACTTAGGATACAAATGGGCAGAAAGCCAGAAGAAGGTGGGGAGTCCGCCTCCGCAGGGCCTGGGGGACAGCCAGGGCACCTGCAGACATTCAGTCGATACTTTCTGAATGAAGGCACGCGTGAATGAAGTGTCGGCACATCCACACCCCAGTCAGCAGGAGGAAGAAGAACTTTTAGTAGGCAGTGCCGACGCACAACTGGAGCGTCAAAGAGAAAGAAGAAAAGCGTTGATCCATCTTGCACACAACACACAAGAATAAATTTCGAGTGGATCAGAGGCTTCAATGTAAACGCTAAAATGAAGCCATATAGGTTCTACAAGAAAGTATGGGTGAGTTTCTCAACAAACTCTAGGTAGGGAGACCGTCTCCAGCTGTGGCTGAAATCCAGAGACAATAGCTGAAATCAACAAAACAGACAAGTGACAAACTGGAACAAGAATTTGCACAGGCAAAGGATTAATAGCACTGGTGTATAAAGAACATCTAAAACTGAGAAGAAAATGATAGACGACCCTGCGGACAAGCGGCCGAAAGGCAGGAGCAGCTCACGGGTCAAGGGATTCGTGATCTTAACACTTAGGAAAAAACGCTCAACAAGAAAAATGCAAATTTGAAAGTGCACTGAGAGACCATCGCTCACCTGTCTGATTGGCGAAAATCCAGACGTTGGCCCGCAGTTTCCATGGGCAGGGCCGAGGGAAAGCAGGTGTTCTTGGCACGTCGTCAGTGGGGAGGGCGTCCTGGTGGCATTAGGAAACGCACTGGTATCATTTAGCCTGGCTCGTTAGTTCCACTTCCAGGAACTGGCCCAAAGATACGTGGGGAATATAGAAGATAAGATACACGTAAGGCTACTTGTTACGACATTATTTGTATCAGCAAAAGGCTAGAAACAGCCAGGACGGCCCTCAGTTAGCTGAACCGTGCTTTGGTACAGCTCACAATGTTATCAATATTATCACTAACACTCAGAGGACAAAAGGAACCCAAAGAGTCATATCATTAGTATTGATATCGGTATTGTTGCCTTGAAATGATACATCCGTGTAATATGTGTCATATATATATCACGTTAAATTCCTCAGGAACCTGGATTTTCAGGACAGGAGAAAAGAGATACAAATATAAAATCAAAGGGCAAATCAATCCTTAAATTTGAATTGGGAATATTAGCATAAACTCCTCAGCTGTTTTCGTGAAACAAGAATACTCTCTAGCTCTGTCTGCTGAAAAGTTGTTGCATGCAAAAAGCAGTGTGGATTAGAACATACCAGATATCTTTATCCATTCATTCAGAATGATACTAAAACGTCTCCACTGGCCCGTTGTCGGAGGCTAGGGCTCATTATTCTGAAAAGGAGTAAAATAAGTTGAAAAAGGACAGAGTCAAGCATTTGTCCTGCCTTCTCTGTACGCGCTGAACTGCAGGGTAACGAGAGGCCACACGCGCCGTAGGTATGGATTGAAGTGTTTCGGATAGATGATGCGACTTTGGGGAATTGCTTGGAAATAATCAGCAGGGAGGGGCAGCGGCTGGAGTGGAGATCAAACCAACCTGCCCTGAATTGGTCATTGTTGAGCCCGCTGGCGGATACAGTCTCGATACTGTGTGCTTTACTTTTGTGTAAGTCTCTGTATTTTAAAAATTATGATAAGCAGCCCCCCAGGCACCTGGGGGTTCAGGGGCTGAGCTGTGCAGGAGCCAGCTCTGGGGGTCCTGGCCCTGGCACAGGGACGCTGCCATGAATGGGAGGCCAGACAACAAGAGGTCGCTGCAAGTTCCCCGAAAGCTCAAAGGAGCTGGTGGGGGGCCTGGGGGAGGATGGGAGAGCTGGGTTGGGGGAGTGAAGCCAGGTGCAGTGAAGTGGGGCTGGGGCTCCAGTGAGGAAGGGCCCAGGATGAGGGCAGAGGGCTGGCGGGGGGTCGGGGGGGCAGGGCCAGCACACAGGAGCAGGAAGCACAAGCCGAACGGCCTCCAGGGCCTCTGCTCAAAGGTGGGAAGTGGGCCTGACCCAGTCACTGGCTCCCTGGCTGCCCTCCAGGCCCCCCCCCCCCGGAAAGCCCCCCCCCTCCCCAGGACCTGCCCCTCGGTCACTCGGGATGCTCCTGTCACACCCTGGGGTCCTGGACGCACAGGCAGATGGATCTACCTGGACGTGCGTGGACCGGGGGGCCGCCTTCCTGCTTTTCAGGCCCATGGGCCGTCTCCGGGCCTCAGAATATTCTGGAAGCACCACACTCACCTTCCTTCAGCAGCACTTTGCCAAGACCCCTCGGCACCCCAGACCCATGCCAGGCCAGCCGTGGGAGGAGCCCGGAGGTCGTCACGAACACAGGGGGAAACTGAGGCTGGGGAGGGAGGGCTGTGCGGCCCCCAAGAGGTCAGGGTCCAGGCCAGGGCTGCGCCTCCAGAGGCTTCCTGGCTGGCGGCCACCTCCAGCCCCACGGCTGAGTTGCCCACTCACCCCTTCACTCCCCACGTCCCCCTGAGCACCCGCCATGCGCCGGGCACTGCTCCGCCCCGGCCGTAGAGCCGTGTGCGCGAGGCCAGCCTTCTTGGGGCCCAGGGTCAGTAGGGGGATGAGTGAGATGAAGAAAGCTAGGGGACGAGGGCAGGGCAGGTGGCAGGGGGTGATCTGTGCTGCGGCAAGGCCCACCCTCCCAGGACTCTGCGTTTTAGCCAACTCCTCTCCCTCCCTCGCGGGCGGGGGCACTGAGGACCCCAAGCTTGGGCACCGCTCCAGGACAGAGGCCGAGGGGCATCCTCCGGCTCTGACTTGACTCCATCTCTGCCGCCGTGGGCTGTTGGAGGGTCGCTCCAGTTAGCCGGCACGGGGGACACGTCGCAGCCAGTCTCATGGGGCAGGACAGACTGAGCTGAGCCTGCCTCAGTGGGGGCTCCAGTGCCACAGGGTGTCCCAAGGCTGTCAGCGCCCGCCCTCCTCCCCCAGGTGCCGCGCTGGGGGCAGGCCAGGAAGGCTGAGGGCTGGCCGTGCACGGGGCACAGCTCTGGGTGCGTGTGCGCGCGGTATGGTGTGTGGGCAGGTTGTGGAGGATACGGTGCACACGTGTATTGAGTATGTGTGTATGGCGGTACATGGTCCGTGTGTGTGTGCACACAAGCCTTGTTGTGACCACACAGGGAAAGGGGACACTCTGTCCCCGCTCCTAAGGGCAGCCCTAGAGCAATGGGACCTGGGGGCTGGCAGCAGCGCGGGGGCAGAATCGGGGGCAGGCAGCCGTCCCCCGGGGGCCACACCTCCGCCCCAGCTGGCCGGCTCTGCGGGTCACTCGGCGGCTGGGCCCTGCCCGCAGAGCCTCGTCCCCTCACTCACCCCTCCCAGCCCAGGATCCAGGTCCGGCCGGCCCGGTCAGAGAGCGGGGCACTGCCCGCGTGTCTCCTTTGATCTGAGGTTAGGTCACCTGACAGCACGCAACCTGGTCTCATGCACCCTGTTCTCACAGTTCCCAGACAGCCGCCAGGAAGGCCTTCTGGGTGCTCTCGCGGCTCAATGCCTGTCCTCCACGCCAAGCAAAAGAGGAAAGTCTGGGGCCGCCGGTACTTGCTTTGTGCTGGGGCGGCGGGGTGGAGGTGCTTGGCGTCAGTGAAGGGCATCGTGGCCGGAGCTGCAAGCACTCCGAGGTCC